GTCCTCTCCTGAGCAAGACATATAGTTCCATTAAGCCACCTTTTTGCATTGCCCAAAAGAAAATACAAAGTAAGGAGATCAAAAACGCCAAACAAAATCTGCATGACACCAAAAAACTATCTTGAGGCCATAACCCTACACGTGGACTTCTGCCAAGACTTGGTCCAGCAAAAGTATATTTTTCACTGTTGGCTGGACAGGGAAATGTTAAAGGGAATATAAATTAAGTTCTCTGGCTTAATGCAGCATGACAGTTTAGGAAGGGGCACATGTAACTGCGCTGTTTCAGTACTATGTATTTTGTGTTAATTTCTCCTACTTTGATGACACTTTATCTTCATTAGTTTGCTTTTTGATCTATTGTTTTAGCGTTTAATTTTTTGTTTGTTTTTTATATAGCATCATGCCCTGTAAATTCATTGCCAGATAACTTAGAAGGAGGTTGTTAAAGGTTGGAAAATTTGCTTTAGAGACCTCCTCTGAACCATAGCTTCCACCACTTGCTGTGCTTGACATGTGGTTTGATCACAGGCTTCATCTGGAGGGCAGGCACATAGACTGAGACACCATACAACTGGATGGGGTAACTCACTCTGAAGATGTGAATATGCTTGAAGCCCTATTTCTTGTTTCAATTGTGTCATCATTGGGGTATGAGTACTTATGGGGATGTAATTACTAATGTTTAAGGTGATTTTAAAAAATGCTTTGTGGGAAAACTGTTAAAATATGCATAGGGAAAATCAATGTAAAGGGAGTAAGTACTGGCATGTGGTCCATGGCTATTAAATATTGTGGTTGAGGTCCACTGCATCAGGCTGTATTGTATTGTTCAGTCAATTAACACACTGAACTGAGAGCAACCTTTTGATTTGCCTGAGTAAACTGGATGGTATTGGACATGCAAAATCTGTCACAAAGAAAGGAGTAAAGCTGAGGCTTAGAAGTTTACAAAATTTGCAGTTATTCTCTACTTCAAAGAACAGAACAAATACAAGCTCTGTCAACCAACAGTGTTGGTGTGTTCTTGGGCAAAATATTCACCTCGCCTGTGTATGTGGTTTGTGTGAGATCACACAGATTGAGAATATCACTTCCTACCCAGGGCAGCTGTGGCTACAGTAGATTATGATTATTGTCATGAAGTGATTTTAGTGTGTAAAATGTATTATTACAGGTGTATATTACACACACTAAAATCATTTCATGGCAAAAAAAAATTATATTGTGTATATTAGGTGATAACAAAACATGTATACAATGAAGTTTGTTCATGTTTTTTCAGAGTAAGCTTTGTTTAAAAAGCCTATATTATGCAATTTCCTTAACTGTGTTATAATGTTGCTTCCTCCTCAAAAACATTTCTGGAGTTGTGTTTTGTTTCATTCACACAAGTTTAACACACAAATCATAATAATATAGGACTTTAACATTGGCATATATATTTAATATTTATCTTTTTCAGAAGTCCAAGGGTTGCAGTGCTATGGCTGCAACATCATCCAGGGCCAGAGGTACGTGGACGTGGGCTGCTCTAACCCAGAGGTCATCACTTGCACCCACTCACACAAGGGCTTCAAACACCGCTTCTGCATTAAGACTGAGAGCAGTGAGTAACTCTTCCCTCTGATTTTGGCCTTTGGCTTCTTTTCAAACCCAGAACTGAAATATTTATGGCACAGTGAAGCTGCACATTAATTAATTCACAGTGTCATGCCGTTGGACATTGCCATAATCATTTTAATATAGGCTAGCTCTTGAATATTTCTCCGCAATCAAAGCTAATAAATACTGTATCAGCATGCAGTTAGACTTCACTGTTGGACAATATCTGTAGATTTCCAAATAAATGTAGACAACCAGCTGTTCCTGTATGTCTAACTGGTTTCCTTGAGGTGAAAGGGCTGATAAAGAAACTTTCAGTAAAAGAGTGTAGACAAAATACTGATGTGAGTTGGCTTGTCACTGAAAACTTGTCAGTGCAACATCTACTTATTCAGTTTAAATGACTGACCCATATCAGATGACTTTGAAGCAAGAGGTTTGGTTTTCTACCTTTAAAGTAGATTACTTTAGTTCCTAAACTAAATAATTAATTATTGGGAGCAGTCTGGGGTATATAATCACTGTAAGCAGTCTACTGTACAACTGCCTTCTCTATCTATCAGTAGTAGGCTAGATTTTTTCAGCTGTGGTTGCACCCTGTTAAGTGTGTCTTCAAGATCACTCTAAATGTCTTCCCCATTACACAGACGAAGCATTTGTTGCTTACTTGTGCTTTTTTCTTGCTGAGTCCAACAGCCACTCGTCACTCTTCTCTGACTGATTGTTCCTTCATCTCTGGCCCTTTCAGCGGCTCTGGGTATTGTCCTGACCAGTGGATGTGCCACTTCCAGACACTGCCAACAACAGGAGCTGCCAGGTGTAAGGATCCACTGCTGTGATTCAGACCTGTGTAATAGCGCCTCTCCCTGGCGGCAGAGCACAATGCACTTCTTTTGCGCACTGTCCAGTCTGATGCTCTTTGGAATCTGGTTGTGATGGACAGAGTCTGCCATATGTATTGAATTTATACTTAAAAATGTATATTTATACATATATATATTAATTTCCTGACCATGTATACACATTGCAGACTGAAAATAAGGCTGACTGATATTACATGGAACTTTTAACTGTTTATAAAAATACTTGTAATGTACAGTTTTGTGGGTAAAATTGTTTTTGCAAAATGTTTTCTCAGGAAAGGGCGTACTGCCCTGTCACTTTAGAGAAGCATTAGCATACCTGTGTTTTAAAACAGGGTTAAGCTTTGCTGATTGCGTTTAGATATCTGAGTAACTTATGGGCAACTTTTTTTTGTAGATAAACCATGGACTTAATGCAATTATGTTTTATTTAACTGCTTTGTTTGTCTTTCTTGACCAATAGCTTATAGGCTCTCTGCATGTGTAGCCTATATAATATGAAAGATGTATAAAACGCAATGTTTTTTCTATAAAACTATCACAAGGCCTGTCATGATAATTACTATATAGATTTAGTGTTCAATTATTGGAAGATGAAATAATGTGCTTTTTATTTGCACAAGTAACTTTTTTGTACTCTATTAATACCTGAGTAGTAGGAGTTTGAATAATACAACTTATCTAAGATTCATAATAGATACTATCTAGGCCTGCAACTTATTTAGGATTCATGTTGAAATAAAATAGCCTATGGTTCATTTTGAAAAAGATTTACTGGTATTGTTCTGCTTTAGGGTTACTGTGTCAGTGGTGGCAAGTAATATTCTATTTTATTGTTGATTGCTATATATTGCACTTGAAATGTGTTATTGTGACAGGCCTATGGCACTCATATATTTCAGTACTGGTGAATTAGTGTTAGTCAACTGTCAACTGCTTGTATAACTGCAAAGTACCATCAATAAACTCATATTTCTTTAAGTATTTGTATATATATTATTTTAAGGGAATGGTTGCTCAAGGACTCAGCTATCTTAAAATATTCCCTCTGCTTCCACTGACTAAGGATACAGCCTAAAAGTAAACAATTGTGTTAGTTATTAGTAAACTGCTCTTATGTTTTTATATAAGCTTGTGTGTTTCTAAGAGCTTTATTAGGGTAGGGAGAATGTTTCATATTTAACATAGTAAATATACACAATTTGGTTCAGAAGACGGTTATCCAATCAGAAACCACAATAAACCTCAAATCTCACATTTTGTTTGTCAGTATGATTAAAACCACTAAGACATAAACTGAAAATCATTCATCAGTGATAGTGTAGCTTCTGCAGCTCAGTGAGTGAATTCTCGAGGATCTGAACTTTCCCATGAGCCAGGATGTGTCCGTATACAGAGATTGAAAAAACCTACACCCTCGATATGCAGGTTAAATCACTGGCAATCTTTTTTAAAACAGTAAAAGTGCAGGTTACATATCCTACAGTTAAAAGGAAAACTGTAGTCTGGCAATGTTTAAAGTCGTACTATGTAACTTTCCTTATTGTCTTTTTGAGATGTTATTGCTTTTCCCGGAATGTTTCACATTATGGCACTAAACTTACCTGTCTTCATGGAGACAAACAGGTGATGCCACAAGACTACATCACAAGTCAGATCTGTGAAATGAACCTGCTCACATTAAGCATGCGTGGCAAAGGAGAAATCCAATTTGTCAACTGGACAAATTGTATTTAGTCGAATATGTTTCGCAGATCATCCAAGCTGCTTGTTCAGTTCTAGTGCCTTAAAGAAGCTGTTTTTGTTAGAGAATCCTTCTCTAAACAGAAATGTGGGACTCAGACACCTTCTGTCTCCTATTTACAATTCCATTCTCAAACCTAAATCAAACAAGAGAACAATTGCTGAAGCCAGGTCAGGTCCATAGGTGTGAAATCACCCATTATGGCCCTGAATGGGTATGTTAATTTGACCCCACACTCAGTGCAACTTCAATTGACCTAACTAACTAACAGAAACTGTAAACAAGTAGGTGTGTTAATTTCAGAGTAGTTTCACTATAGTTAGCTCCTCCCTACAGACAGATATAAGGAAGTACCCACCAGCATTCTGACCAGAACTGAAGAAGCAGCATGGATGAACTTTGGAACTTATTTGACGAAATAAGCTTTGTCCAGTTGGCAAATTAAATTTCTCCTTTGCCATGGCTTCTACCTGGACGACTGAGGGATTTTTCACACATTAAGAATGCATGTTTCCACCGTATTGTAAAAATCAATAAAAACACCTGTAATTGTAAGATATAAAACTTGGTTACTGTGGCGCATTCCAGGCTAAGTCATATCTTATCCAGGAATACAAGGAAGAAAAGTAAGGCCTACTTGCTGTGGTACACTAACCAAAATCCACTATAACGTGTGAAAGATACTGATATGTGGTAAATACAAGCAAACCTATGGCTAAAAGCACACCTGTTCAGGTAAGTGCTTCCTGTGGAGGACTGGCTGATGCAGAAGCTCTCATCCATGATGGTCTTTGTCCCAGACGCCCATTGTGCACAGTGGAGGAAACCCTGTGCCTTGAGCAGCCATCTTGGAAAGGCAGATCACTTGAGCCAGAGGATAACCTGCATACCTTTTACCACAGCTGAACGCCACAAACGCCTAAAAACTCAAAGTTCTGGTGAGTCATTTGACTGTCACGATCTGAACATGGACCTATATATGAGCAAAAAGTGTCATAAATTATAATGCTATTGTGGTAATGGCTTGCATTACTTTAGCCTGTATGTGCCAGTAGTCGGCTAACTGTTAAGCTAACAAAGCTAGCCTTACTTTACTTCCAAACTGTGATATTTAAGTTCCCGGCTATGACTTGCAGATAAGATGGCAGTTTGCAACTAGCTTTAACTACATATATACACACATATGGCAAGTTATCACTGAAATGAGATTTGAACGTAGTCAGTGACTTTACTGTAATCCAACCTTTGTTGCTAAAGCTAGCGATAGCCAGCGTCAGATGATGGTGTTGTCAGGTGTGTTTTGTCAATACACCCCAGGCATCATCTTTTGTAATCTGTCACACTGCATTTCTAGATGTTGTGTGTTCAGGCAAGCACATTATTTGCATGGTTTTAAGGCAGTTTGCAGATAGTATTACTGGAAAACAAGAGCTATGGTTTTTGCTAACAGTGCTAACCTGGCTAGTAGCTATTTAAATTTCTAAGGCCCTGTTTTTTCACCGGTTTCAGTAGTATTTATTATCTTGCCAATTGCACCAAAGGGTTATTTCATGAAATTTCCTACGACGGATCTGCACCCTAAAACTGTCACTTTGCCAGTTGTCTACGATAACAATTTTTCCTCAGCGCTAGTTAACGCTTTATGTTTGTATAAGGTGTATGTGTTTATGTCAGCTGTGTTACTTGCTCGATTATGACGTCGTGTAAGTAATGCTTTTGCCTTCATGTTACTTGTCTGAACCCCGTATTTACTAGATAGTAGGTCAACTACCATATTACTTAACAATATTTTTTCTTTAATTTCTTACCCTAAATATTAGGCTTAACAAACGTTGAATTCGTGTCTCTGAGTGTTGCAGTGTGTTTATTTCTCTGATGCCTGATCCTTATTGCACTTCTAAGCTGTACACGTTGTAGTCAGTTAACAAGCTATAAAGCAATATGATAGGGACGAATGAGCAGCAGGGCCATGATGTGTCAAGCTGTGAAGGAGTCACATGATTTGAAAAGTGGGCATTACAGTAAACCTTGGAGCTCCTATGACCATGTTATGGTTTGCTCAGATATTAGTCTGTCTGACTAACTAACTACTCATCATCATTCTGCGAAACCAGGTCAATAATACAGTGATAGCTTAGGTGTGCCTTTTAACCAATATTAAAAGCATTACATGGGGGCTGCCACATGATGAGGGTCATGTGACTAGCTAAACAGTAGGCTGGGAGTTTCACCCACAATGTCATTCTGTGACTAATTCTGCACTCCTCGCATTTGTGCTTGTGTAACCTCACTTCACTTCCCTCCTCGGTTTCACTACAAATAGAAAATTTGTCTTTTACCATCCTGGCCAGTCAAAAAAATAATGCTAGCTGTTAGCTTATTGTTACTTCTTGTTACTCAGACATGCCATGAGTTCTGTGTCTTCTTTTTTGTTGGTTTGAAAAGCAATAACAACAAATGCTCTCCTCTGTGGCAGTAGTGATGTTTGCATAGCTGTCAAGTTGTCCATTATTGTATCTGTATGGCAGATATTTGTGTGGGGGTTTGGCAAATAACTTTTGTCCAAAAGAAACAGAAAACACACCAAAATTCTGCAGAGGTGCAAATGCATGGAGCAGTAAGACATATGACAATAAATAACTTTTGTCCACCTTAATGTACCATCACAAGGAATCAAATAGGTGTGAGAGGGTGTGTTCAGTTTCCAGTGGGTGCTAGTGGTGTTATAACTAATGTATGCAGTGATGATCTCTTTAGTGACAAGTGATGTAGAACATGCTCTGCTGTATTAATATCGTAAAGTGATTTAATATAATGCAATATTACAATGAAGGTACTTTTATAAACGTCTTCTCATATATATATATATATATATATATATATATATATATATATATATATATATATATATATATATATATATATAATCAATTTTTTTCTCTTTTAGAGCCAAAATGGCCACTGCTCCATACAACTACTCCTACATTTTCAAATATATTATTATTGGTAAGTACCCTTTTTACAACTATAAACTGGAAATGAGGATGACTGCTGTTATAATAGTAGTGTTACATTGTCCAGTATTTGTTTTTCTTTTAGATTTAACAATTGATACATTTTTTAGCCGCATGCCTAGATTTTAACATCTTGTAGTGTGTTAAAATCAAATACTTTCACATACTTAGTTGCCAAGTCATAGTAGTACTCATAAAAATGTAAACATAGTCACCATTATAATCATTGGAATTAATGTGAGTTCTCTTTTTCCCTCAGGGGACATGGGTGTTGGAAAGTCATGTTTGCTGCATCAGTTCACAGAAAAGAAATGTAAGTGCTGCCATCATATTTAACTACTTCTTAGTACTGTGTACTTTTCAATGGTTGTCGAAATCGACTGGGGTGCCAATATAATTTCAGTCCTTTTGAAATCCTCAAGCGGAAGTCCCATTCAAGTGAAAGCTTGACTCCTGATCAGTTTGTACATGTCAGCTGCGGCTTTCTCTTGCCATTCATATCTGCTGTTTGGTGCCACCATTAAGAAGGCAGATGGTGTCATTCAGTCACCATTCTAAATTTACTAAGAAACCTTAAGACATTTATCGAAATAGGGCACAGTAACATCTTCAAAGAGGATAGTAGTAGAATCTCAAGCTTTAACTGAGCAGTAAGCATAGACATTGACAAAATGTAAAAATAAATATATGCGTAAAATCCCTCAGTTGTCCAGTTCGAATCCATGGCAAAAGGATAAATTCAATTTGAGGACACTTCCTTATATCTGCATGAAGGGAGGAGTTAACTACAATGAAACTACTCTGAAATTAAGACTCCTACTTGTTTACAGTTTCTGTTAGTTAGCTAGGCCTTTTGAACTTGCACTGAGTCTGGGGTGTTATTAGCATAATCATTCAGGGCCATAAAAGGTGATTTCACACCTCTGAACCTAATCTGGCTAACCCCATTTTGTTCTCTTTGTTAGTTTTGCTTTAGGTTTGAGGATGGAATTGTAAATAGGACATAGACGGTGTCTTGAGTCCTCCATTTCTGTTCAAAGATGGATTGTCTTTCTTAACAAAAATATCTTATTTAACTCCCCTCTTAAACCATTCCTTTTCTCTGGCTAAGATCTGTACCTCACTGTTCTCAAAGGGGTGGCCTGAGGTTTTTAGGTGGAAATGTACAGTAGAGCCCGACCAGTATATTGGGTGGCCAATATGGGCCGATACAACATATCGGCTATCGGCCGATATGTTTGCTGATACGGGCCGATATTTCATGTGGGCATGTTATATCTCATTATAAAGCTTAGACTCTCTACATTAGGTCAATTTAATCCAATTTACAGACAGATAAATGTCCTAATATGTGGCTCTGCATCAGTATTTATCTGCGGAGTCATTTGTCTGTGTCTGTACTGTCCCTGAACACAACCCAAGAGTTACGTCACTCACGTGCGCTCGTTTACACTCACAGACATAGATCCATGTGCGCAACACTGAGATTATATTCTTTTTACGGACAATCGGTTTGAGTCTGGATTAAAAGGACATTTATTAGTGCAGACTTGTGATGTGAGGAGGAGCCTGTGTGAGCGGTGAGTCTTGGAAATATGTCCACTTTGAAGCTAGTTTTGGTTATTTGTTATTTGTTAGCAATTAGGTGCTGTAGCTCCCACACATAAACAGGCAGTTTTCTCTTCTACTGGCAGACTGTAAAGTGACTATATTGGCCGTATATATGTTACTGGACCTGCATTGATATGTAAATGAGCTGTGAATAGAGGTGTGAATGATGACATTTATGCATATAATTAATCACCCCGGCGCACACGCATTTTTGGCTAAAGGCTAATAGCCGTAGTTTCTTTACTAGCTAGTAGTGATGGGTCGGTCGCGAATGAAACGGCTCTTAGAGCCGGCTCTTTGAAGCGAACGGCGGGTGCTCCTTATTGGGAGCCGTGTTTTCTCTTTTTCTCACCCTCTCTCTTTCTCTTACTTTTTTCCTCTTCTTCTTCCTGCTTTAGACCTGCTTTAGACCTGCTTTAGACCTGCTTTAGACCTGCTTTAGACCTGCTTTAGACCTGCTTGCAACAAAACAATCTGAAGAGCTGTTTGGGAGCCGAAAGAGCTGGCTGCTTCTAGTGAGCCAAAAGAGCCGGTTCTCTAAAAAGAACTGGAATACCCATCACTAGGGATGGGCATTCGATGAAATTTTCATAACCGATCGTCGGAAGAATTAACCATCGATTATCGATTAATCATTAACGTTTTTATATTAAAATGATCATCATTATTATTACTATCTGCACTACTAATCTGCATAAATAAATTCAACTTTACGACATATAAACCGTAACGACTCTAGAGCCACATCAATCCGTTTGACATTATAATGTGTTTAATTCAGTTTTGCGCAACTCTCACAGAAACGAAACTTAAAACCGCATCGCTAATTTACATAAACTAAGCGAAGATAAAACTACAGCTCTTGTGTCGCTGATGCGGTCAATTTCTGTCAGATTAAAAGACATGACTCAGTGGAATACAGGTTAGTGTGACAATATTTGCGTTTGTCAAATCTAGGACACCGTACGGGGGGTGGGACATGGGGACTCGTCATCGATGGTGCGCGACTCTCACCTGGCAAAACGTTTTCCCACTGGACACCGAAATATATGTGCTGCTTCATACATTGTGCACATGGACTCACACTTGTCCCGAACGCAACGGAACACGTGGAATTTCTTGTACAAATCATTGTTAAATACGCATTTGTGCTTCGGTACGTTACAAGCGGACTGACTGTCTGCGTCTGCTCGCTCCTTCTGAGTGCAGAGAGCTACATGTACGGAGCCTTGTTTGGTCACGCTACGCACAGCAGCCTGCATTCGGTTTGTCGATTAAAATGAACGTAATCGATGAAATTCTTAATGATCAATTATCGATTAATCGACTAATCATGCCCATCCCCAGGTCAGGTCCAGAGGATAAATGATTGATTATGCTAATATGACCCCACACTCAGTTCAAATTCAATAGGCCTAGTTAACCAACAGAAATCGTAAACAAGTAGGTGTGTCACAGACACTAGTTTGTCTCTCATATGGAAACCATTTCCTTTGAAACAGCCATGTATCATCCAAAACGAAGTCTATGACTTCTCTTATCACAGATTTAGAGAGTTTAGAGAGAGCACTGTTTCTCAGTCCTCTGTGTGTGTGTGTTTTTTTTTCTTTTTTACTCCTAAGCTCGCATTTTTGTTTTTATACAAACAGACCATCCGTTTTTCTTATAATAATATGCCTGTCAATCACGCTTATCTGAAATTATAGAGACAGGATACAGTTCCAGACCCAAATGGTTTCATGAAGTATTATACAACTGTATGGTCTTGGATGGCATGGCAAACATATCCCGCACCTCTACTGTTTAATCTCAGGCATTAACAAATCTTATAAGTCATGCAGAAACTCTCTGGACATCTTTGCTATTATGCTCAACCTAAAAAAACATACCTTTTTCAAGTGAGATGATGAGTGCTCTCCCGTTGTGTGTCTAGTCATGGCAGACTGTCCCCATACAATTGGTGTGGAGTTTGGCACCAGGATAATTGAGGTAAGCGGTCAGAAGATCAAACTGCAGATCTGGGACACTGCGGGACAGGAACGCTTTAGAGCAGTCACCCGCTCCTACTACCGTGGTGCTGCCGGGGCTCTCATGGTCTATGATATTACTAGGTATGTACCAATACGTTTAATCTCACACAAGCAAGACTATGTCAAAATTAAACTTTTGGTTGGTTTGGTTTGGTTGGTTGGTTGATGTTAAATGGTCAAACAAATGTAGTGCTGCAACTGGCAAATATGAAAACAAATCAAATGAAAACCCATGGATACCACACCATGAAAATCTGAAGAACACAGTTGCCATAATCCTGCACTTTAGAAGGAAGATCAAGACACATTATCACAGGCATATTGTACATCTTTTTATAATGGAAAAAATAATGATAAATATTGGTAAAAGTAAATAAAAGGCCAAATTGATATGAATATCATATATGACCTTCATTCCTAAGCCATGCTGCCACCTGAATAAATTATGATCCCTTTTCTGAATTATTCTCTGAAAGAATTATTGCTTTAAGTGCCTAGGTCTGTTGTTATAGTTACCATCAACATCCCTTTAATGTTTCCAGGAGAAGCACATACAATCACCTCAGCAGCTGGCTAACTGATGCTAGAAACCTCACCAATCCCAATACTGTAAGTATTCATTCAACACATTTTACTCAGATTTTACTCAAGTTATGTACATGGTCATAATGAAGGTAATAATATAGAGTATGGAAATGACATGTATACATTATGGCATCGTTTCCCAAAGACTGGGTCACGACCCTCAGGTGGTTCACAAGAGATTTTTTGGAGTCGTCTTGTCATGATCTGCAATATACAGTTCTGATACATGAGCTTTTCTGTGCCCACAAAAATTGAAGTCTAAGCACAGAAACAGACTGATTGCTGCATCTGATATACGTGTTGCGCCTTCCTCTTTCACCGTGGACTGAAACGTGCTACAAAAACGCAGACAGGCCCACCTATCATTAGAAATGCTGAAATGTTAAGACATGTTTTGTATAATTTCTAATCTTTTTGTAATTATTTTATTGACTGTTTTGTTCCAATATTATGGTTCAATTGGATGTTGAAAAGAAAAAGACATGGGCTGCATTTAATGTCCAAATAGGCTTATGGATCCTTTTATTGCTCGTTCAATTACTGTTTTTCGTAGTTTAAAACTTGAATAATACTAATTGTTCAGAGAGACACGATCACTCAGTCAAAAATAAAGTATCCTTATTAATGTTCACAAATTTTATTTTGTGATTTACAAATAATGTCTATTGACTTGGGTTGCGAAGGTTTGTGACTTTTAAAATATGGGTCCCCAGAAAAAAGTATGGGAAACACTACATTAAGGGATAGCTTGAACTTGATGGGAGACTTCTTCTAGGATTCCACTTGTGAGTAAAGCATTCTCACATTTAAAGGGACAGTCCGGAATTTTGGACATAGGACCTCATTTCCTAGTGAGACACTTTTTTAAATATTCCAGACTATTGATGTGTAAATGTCTGTGTTGTTAAAATAATGTTTGAAATAAAACAAATCTTGCATCACATGAATCGTCACATATTGAGGTACTATTTTGTCAGCAGCAGCGGAATTTTATTTTGCCGGTAAGATAGGTTATAGGTGATATCAGTCCTCCACTGTCAAGCTTTTCTTTCAGGAAGTACAACTTGCTGCTGCTGCTCAGACATAAATCCTTCAAATGCAAAGTTGGTTTTACTTCTAAAAATATTCTATCGACACAGACATTCACATCAACAGTCTAGATTTATAATTGTTTTGCCTCGGGTATTTTGTGGAGTGGGTAAGAGTGAGTGGCAGGCTAACTATGGCCATTGACATGCACTAACCTAGCACCAGCAAACTTTGCAAATACAAGGACTGGATGGAATATTTTAAAAAAGTGTCTCCACACGTCTCCAACACTCTGGCTCACTAGGAAATGAGGTCCTATGTCCAAAATTCCAGACTGTCCCTTTAAATGTGAGAACGTTTCACTCACAAGTGGAATCCTAGAAGTAGTCTCCCATCAAGTTCAAACTATCCCTTAATGTAGTGTTTCCCATACTTTTTTCTGGGAATATTTTTACTATATACAGTCCCTGACAAAAGTCTTGTCGCTTATCCATTTTGTAGAAACAAAAGCTTATAACTTGACTTTAAATTAATCGATTGGTTTTAGAAATGTCTCATATGAAAGCTATAATCCTCCCAAATTATGCTCAATAAACTAAAATAAATTTGCTTCACTGAAAAAAGATTGATCATTTAATGAACACAGAAAGGTCAGATTTTGGCAAGACAAAAGTTTTGTCGCCTACAGAAAATTTAACAAATTATTTACTTCAAATACAAAAATATGTTGCATAACGTCAGTGAATTAAGTAGTGGTGCTGTGAGATCCATATTTAATATCTTGTATGACTTCCATGAGCTTCAAGGACTACATCCATGCGGTTCCACAATGATTCATACAATTTGTTGATGAAGTCATCAGGAATAGCAAAGAAAGCGTCTTACATGCCTCCCAGAGTTCATCAAGATTCTTTGGTTTTGCCTTCCATGCTTCCTCTTTCATTCTACCCCAGACATGCTCAATGATGTTCATGTCTGGTGACTGGGCTGGCCAGTCCTGGAGCACCTTGATCTTCTTCACCTTGAGAAACTTTGATGTAGAGATAGAAGTATGTGATGGAGCACCATCCTGCTGCAAAATTTGACCCCTTTTATGGTTGGGAATGAAAGAGGTAGCTAATACTTCTTGATATTTTAGGCTATTGATATTGCCTTCCACCCTGCAAATGTCTCGCACAGCCCCATACTGGATGGAACCCCAGGCCATGATTTTTCCACCACCAAACTTAACTGTTTTCTGGGTGAATCTTGGATCCATGCGGGCTCCAGTAGGTCTCCTGCAATATTTGTGGCAGCTGTGATGTAATTCAACTGAGGATTCATGTGAGAAATCCACCTTCTGCCACTTTTCCAGTGTCCATCCTTTTAGCAGGCTGTGGGCCTTGGCAAATGCCACACGGTTTTTTAATTGCCTTTTGTTTAGTGCTGGTTTCTGTGCACTGATTCGACCATGGAGGTCATTTCGAGACAGAATTCTACAAACTGTTGTGGTTGACACAGGGGCTTGAGGTGACCAGGCCTGGTGGAGCTCTGCTGCAGTGGAAAAGGGGCTGGCAGTGGATTTTCGAATCAACAAACGGTCCTCCTGAGCAGTTGTCTTGCAGCGTCTGCTGGACCTGGGCTTGTCAAAAACATCTCCAGTCATTTCAGATCTTTTTCTTATTCTTTGTACTTGACGCTGAGACACATTGAAGGTGTCAGCCACCTCAGCAGTGGATCTGGTCTTCAGCCTCTTGATAATTAATGCTTTGGTCTCAGGGTGGATCTTAGGCATGTTGTCAGAGGTCAAGTTGCAGTTGATGTGAAGGTCTGGTGTGCTGGGGTTCTTTTTATACACACCCACTAATTGATTGATCAGTAACTGACCACAGGTGAGGCTGTAATCTAGGATTGGGTGCATCATATGACAAGGCGACAAGACTTTTGTCTTGCCAAAATCTGACCTTTCTGTGTTCATTAAATGATCAATCTTTTTTCAGTGAAGCAAATTTTTTTTAGTATATTGAGCATAATTTGGGAGGGTTTTAGCTTTCATATGAGACATTTCTAAAACCAATCGATTAATTTAAAGTCAAGTTATAAGCTTTTGTTTCTACAAAATGGATAAGCGACAAGACTTTTGTCAGGGACTGTATGGTATACCATTGTGTATTATTTTAAATTGGGCCTAGTGTCGTGTATAAACAGCTACTCTGTTATTGAATATTCAATACTAGGGCGGTATTTCATCAAAGTCGCTTAACAAGTCTAGGCTCATCCTGAAATCCTGAGCTGAAACTAGCTCCATCTCCAGTTTAAGCCTCAACTCTTTCCATGACAGAAATAAGCCTCTGACCAAAGCTAATTCAAGCCTGAAGTTTAAGCTGCACTTTGTGCATGCTCGCGGTGTCTCTTGAGAAGGCCAGAGGAATGGATCAACAACATCACGGAAAATGGGCTCAAACTCACACTTTTTTTTAAACGATCTGATTAAAACGAAAGAGGAGCCACATCGCGCATGGACAAGAGTTTGATATAGGCCACAGAACCTTTCCAGTCATTCTGAGGAGCAAGAAGAAAGACACTGCTTCCCCTCCTCTTTTTGTCGCTCTGTGAACAGAGAGGAGGCTGGAGCCTGGAGCCTGGTTAATGCAGGCTGGGGAATGAAGTTGCCTCACCCCTTCCCGATGAGCGGTAGTATGTGCGGAGCTTAAGTTCCGCTGGGTGTAAAAATAAAGCTGTAACAGAACTCTTCAGATGTAGCCTAGAAGAAAGGATAAAATTGAGTCTGACTTGTTTGCAGTTTGACAGGGAGCGAGAGATGAGGGAATGAAGAGAGAGAGACAGAAGTGATGAAGGAGCGCACAGCCAGAACCTACTAAAATCCAATTTATCATCGTCCTTCAAAAATGAAGAAAAATATTTATAGGGGTCTAATCAGCCAAAGATTTCACAACCCCCTTGCAGTACCTCCGCAGCCCCTCCCCCTGTTGAAGACCTCTGGATTAGGGTCTAATTACATAGTAGCCAGGAGCACTTGTATCCTAGGCATCTACATCTTATAGGTAGAGCCATATGTCCCTCTTTAACCCTTTTTTGGCATCCCGCATCTTTTTGAGCAAAGGGAAACGCTATTACTACATTGTATTACAGCTTTCCTCTTGCTTCTTTTCAGGTGATTATTCTCATAGGTAACAAAGCAGACTTGGAGGCCCAGAGGGATGTCACATATGAAGAAGCTAAGCAGTTTGCGGAGGAGAATGGTGGGTCCTGATTGTAATTTAGACTTGGGGATAAAAAATATAGTGCATAACAGAATAACCATTTATTTTTGTCATTGATTTGTTGTTGGAAACTGTGTCTAAGGTTTATCTTCACTGTTCTCCAGGGCTATTGTTCCTGGAAGCCAGTGCAAAAACGTAAGTTGTTACATTTATTCCATAATCTTTTGCTTTATCCTTACATGGGTTTTCATTCTTTTCCCCAGAGGTGAAAATGTTGAAGACGCTTTCCTGGAAGCTGCTAAGAAAATCTATCAGAATATTCAAGACGGAAGCCTTGACCTGAACGCGGCTGAATCGGGGGTCCAGCACAAGCCCTCTGCCCCACAGGGTGGCAGGCTAACCAGCGAACCACAACCTCAGAGGGAAGGCTGCGGCTGCTAATGACCAAGCAAAGCCCCGTCACCCTTTCTGCCCTTTGTCCCGTCTGTCGTGATGCCTGCCCTCTCATCATCCACCCCACTTATCCATTCCTCCATCTGCTTCTCCGCGCCCCTTCCTCACTGCACCATGAGTGGAATTGGAACACGACTGCAGAGGGGCAATACAGGGGGCAGATAGCGACTCGGGCCTGACTGAGCTGGGACGTGGACTACATCTCTCCCCTCCTCTGCCTTTCTCCTGTCTGTCAGTGTTTTGCTCCTTTTCTTCAAACTGAGTTTGCTGTTGACCCTCCACCCCTTGGCTTCCATTGCACCTTTCAGTATAATTCCTCCCATCACATCATCATTGAAGCTCTTTACACAGGTTAATGACACTTAGACAAACAGTATGTAACACTGCGTTACAATACCTGTCATTGGCCAATTTGTACAAAACGATCACAAAAATCAGCCACTTTGTTTACCAGGTTTTTCTTTTCCAATCATGGTTAATACAATTTAGGATTAAGCAGTGAATGTAAGGCAGATTTTTAACATGATACCATCTGTGCAGAGGCTAAATATGTTGCTGAAGGTTTAACAAAGTTAGGCTTTCAATAGGTATCTGAATATCAGATTTTAATTCATTTTTAGATTACATGATGGCAAGTTGACAATTTTATTGGAAATGTTTTCTTTGTTATTGTGCATACTGCAGTGAGTGTTTGTGTCAAAGGTTAAAAAAATCACTCAAAAATAATGCAGCTTTTAAAGATTCTTTTGATAAGTCATTACTTTTCCTTTCATTAATAGTTCTACCCCAGAGCTACCCCCAAAGTCATATCAACAAAAATGGTCAGCAGTTGGTTTTCATTGTTTGATGCCTTATTATTACTGTAAACCTTATTCATTCTCTGCACTTGCCCATTTCTAAATCAACTATAAAGTGATTTTTAGATGATTAAATATAAATATGTGAAGGGCAGCTCACATTTTCCCCAAGTGATTAGCTGCATGCTCTTTAATCAGTCATGGCAGCTTGTCTGTAGATTTGAACAGACCTTCATGGCACTATTCATGCTCCTTTTATCCGACATGAAGCTGCACAGAACAGACGGTCTGGTGCCCTATTGGCTGGTTGTTCCCTCTGTCTTGTATGAAACACCGAGCAGCATGTCCAGCCTCTAAAAGCAGTGACATTGTTGAAATAGATTTATGCTTTGCTTTACCCTGAAGTATTTTTTCCTGTATCATAAGTTACTCCCCAATTACACTGCTGTATATATCGCTTATTAACTATTGGTGAAGACCTTGCTACTTGGAGTTTAGGAAAAATATTTGCCAAGATCTGTACAGTTAATGTGCTAGTGGGTTGCCTGTAATTCATGCTTGGGAAAATTCTGTAATATAGTTTCTATTAATGTATGTAAAAGGACAGACACCTTCAGAGCCCAACCTGCCCAGCCACTGCACACTACTGAACCTGTTTGAGGGGAGAAGTTTTTTTTTTTTCCAGATGTCTGTAGTCCGTATACAGTGGAGAATGGGGCACTATTGTTTTGTGCATTTTTATTTTTCCTGCAATTCCTCCACCTGGGAGGTACCTACATCACTGTCTTAAGTTTTGGAGAGAGGGGATTGGTTTATTATTGTGGGAAGTTGGTGGGTTGGTTCTTCCTTTATCCTGTTTCCCACCCCTTTGCAGTCTGAGTGACCACTTCCTGCTTTTGTCTGTCCACAAGTACAAAAGTACATATGTATAAATTTTTAAGAAGCTGTGCTAACATTTAAATGCGTTCTTGCGTGTACATGATTTTAAAATGTTGACATTTTGATTTTAATGACAAAATACTCTAGACAGAAAAAATAAATTATACATAACCTGTTGCATGGTGTTTCTTCTTCTACACAAAAAAGGAATTGTGATTTTCAAGTAACATTTGTTTTATTGCAACAAAAATTGCACCGAACTTGAGGAGCAAACATACTTACAAAGACATTTCTTTACATAAGTGAGGCAGCATACAAACTCAGAGTGGTATGGCTGGAAAAAGGAAAATTACAGATGGCAAGCACAGAATTTACTATGTTGAATTACTGTAGGCTGTTGACTGTCAAAGATTAGCAGAAATGACTACAGCACTAGTACCATACTAAGTATAGAGGGCATTTTTGGTCTGTAACTGAGCTCTCCATTGAAAGTGATCATGAAGATGATCAAACATCTTAGTCCAGTGTTTTCACCTGAACCCTTTAAATGCTGGGAAGAAAAGGCCATTGTCAATGTGTGACTAAAAGAATAAACACTCAGGCAAAGTGGCTGGTCAATTGCTAAAGTAATATTGGCTCTAGAAAATTAGCAATTTGTTAAGACTACACCATTATTGATAATGGCTTTAGAGACTGGCATGTGAAGAAAACTTAAAATATAAACAGCATAGGAATACACCCTGGTCCCTCTCCACTCTGGAGATATGTTTTTGGTAATAACACATTTGATGACCTTTCTACAAATAAAGTATTAAAAGCATGTGTGAAGGCACAGTGATATAGACCTGCTAATAGTATTCTGGCACTGTTGGTAAAACTAAAAATGCATTCATTCCTCAGACATGGTCATGTCAAATTCATGATTTAGCTTCTTAGATATAATAGGCACAGAGTAGAATATTTCAATTTACCTCTGATTTCAAACAGACCAACACGTCTGCTTTAAATACATAATGGTTTTGTTTAATAAGTGTTGGAATAAAAAAAAACTACTGTCTAAACAAATAAATTGTAAAAAATATTGCTGAAAAATGTTCAGCATTATCTCCTGGAATTGTATCGAGCCACAAAATGCTGTGTTGAAGTTCTAGGCTTTCAATATTATCTTTTGTTGCTACAGGCTCTAGAGTTTCAGCACGTAATATAGAAGCAAAGCTAAACCTGTTTATTGCTGATGAACAGCCTGTACCCTGCCACATAGACCACTGTTAACAAACAAGGCAAGTCTTTGATGTTTAGTTTGTTGGCTACCTCTGTACAATGTCACTAATCTCTTTGACAGAAGAAAGAAGTTTACTGAAGTCCTGTTGTGTATTTGCTCCCCCTGATGATGTTGGACAAATCTGTAGTTCACGAAGGCTGCTCTCCAGCTTGTTGATTGCCTCACGGAAAGCAAACTTGTTCCTCATCTGCTGTATGGAGTCAACATAGCTCATACAATATTTGGACAGGTTTTTGCCAGCCTCCAACACAGCACTGTGACTCCCTGTCTGCTCAGAGTTACGGCTAATAGCAACCCGCAGTAACTCTGTGCCCTCTAGAACCATCTCACGAGTCACAGCTGAATTAGGAGTGCGCTCTGCAGAAGACCGTGGTGCAGTCTTGCGTAAGGATCGCCGGGTATTCACTAAGGGGATGAAAGCAGTGGCTGAAGTCTGTTCCCCTGGGGAGATGAGTGAAGAAGAGAAGCCTCCAAGGCTCTGGCTGGAAAGGGAGCATGTCACAGAGTTAGAGGAGGAGGAGGTCTTCAATGTTTGAGGTTTTGTGCTGGAGCTTAGAGGCAGCTTCTTGGAGCTATCACCAATGGGAGAGCGAGGCTGCTCACTGGCAGTGGTTGTGTGTTGGGGTTCAGACACAGAGGGGACAACTTTGCCTTTTATGTCTGATGGAGAGGGCAGATCTTGTGTGGGACTGCGAGAGCCTTTTTTAGGGTTGGTGGGTGGTGGAGGTGGAGCTGGTTTGGGTTTTTGAAACTTGTTTCTCCGGGCCCTGCACTCATCACCAGCAGCCCCTAAAGCTGGGAACACATTTGGCTTAAGCAGCTCAGCATGGAGAGCACTGGTTTTAGAGCTCTCTGCTCCAGTCCCTGGTCTGCGGACCAGCTTAGGTGTTAAGGCCTGGGGACTGGACCCTGGACTGGGTGTCTTTTCAGTGTCTTTACAAAAGTCTTCAGGCGCTTCCTCTGCCTTTTTAGGCAAACGGGGGGGTGGAGTCAGAGTCCCTAGGCGAGGGGTAGCGTCTCCTTTTTGTTCACTTGCTCTTTTGAGTGGTAAAGCAGGCCTCGCAGAGCTTGAATGAATGCTGCGATGACCAAGGTCTCGTGGAAGAGTCATTGATCTCCACTCAGAGCTGTCTGCTCCAACAGGAATGCTTGATGACCACAGAAAACGCTTTGAGTTTGTCAACTCCTCTTCATTAGGAGGGGTAGTAGCCATTTTGGACCCTGACCCCAACATTGTTGGGACATACTTCTTTCTAGGGAATGCAGGTCCAGGATAGGTAGGGGCCCCATTAGTGACGCCCACCGCTCCGTTGTTGGCCAGACCCTGAAACTTTGAGTCAAGGTTATGTGTGCTGTCTTGAGGTGCACCGTTGTTATCAGTACTGTCTCGTAGATCTACAGTGAGCCCCCTGCGCTCTGGGTGAACATCATCTTTAAAAGATGAGCTTCTTTTTGGCGGCGCAGGCGCATTCTTCTTCTTTTTCTTGATAAGGCTAAGAAAGCCACTGCTTCGGGTCTTATCTTTGTCCTTTGGTAACAAGCGGTCATCCTCATTTAAGTTACTGTCCAAGAAGGGGCGTTCTTTTCTGGGCAGCATAGGTGAGGATACAACTCCTTCTTGCTCCAATAAATCTGAAATAAGGACATGTTAAAATAAATATGCCACAGTAACATTTCAGAACCTTTTTTAAAAAGGTTAAAGAATTGTGAACTCACCAGGATTTTCATCCCGGTTGTCCATGTTTTTACGGAGTGTTCGTGTTTTTGTGGGCAGCTCTGGAGCCTGTTGGATGGACCCCAATGTTACCTTCTTACCCTTTTTCTCCAGCTCTTTTTCAACCTCTGAAAGACAATTTACAATAGGTGTCTACTGCATATATAACAACAGTGAAGGATTTACTGGTATTCATGTAAATCCTAATAAAATATACATTTTATTGGGAATCTTACCATCAGAGATGCTGGATTCCTGAAACATAGTTTCAAAGGCTTGGTGAGCTTCAGCAAAAGTTGGTCGTTCAGATGGATTCCATCTCCAACCTGAAAGAGGCAAGTCATTGACCTGAGTGGTGGTGTTGATGCATCTGCTGGCTAAATGTCTTTGGATTTGGTACTCACAGTCTCTCATTAGCTCATAGACTTTTTCTGGGCAGCCTTCTGGACGGTCCATTCTATAATCCTTCTCAAGCAGCTCATAGACTTGAGACAAGTCAATTCCGGGATATGGGGACATGCCATAGGTTGCTATTTCCCACAACAACACACCAAATGCTAAGAGAAAACGAAATGAGCACACATTTAAAAAAGGGATTTAGTCTGAGAATTTTTACACTTATAAAACTATGAGACTCACCCCATACATCAGACTTAATAGAAAACTTGTTATAAGCCAGACTTTCAGGTGCAGTCCACTTAATCGGGAACTTGGCCCCAGCATGAGCTGTGTATGTATCTCCAGTCATCAACCTGCTCAGGCCGAAATCTGCCACCTTAACCAGATGATTCTCACCTACGAGACAATTACGAGCAGCCAAGTCTCTATAAAAAAAGAACAAAGAAAAAGTAATTTGATGATGAAGGCTTATAGCAATTTACACAGTGAATTATAGTTAGTACACTGCAAAACAGCTGAACCGGCCATCTACAACATTGCTCTGTCAAATATAAGCCTGATGTACAAACTAAACTGGGTTTACATGTTATATTGGCCCCCCACCCACCTGTGAATGAAGTTCTTTTTTTCCAGATACTCCATTGCTGACGAGATCTGTGTCGCCATGTGAAGCAGCACCACAGCATTGACCTCCTCCCTGTTGCATTCTCTTAGATAATCCAATAGATTTCCATGGGTCATGAACTCTGTTATGATGTAAAAGGGGGGCTCTCTTGTGCATACACCTACAAGCAACAGGAAAATAAAGACGCTGCAGAACATTTAATAAAACCTTAACAAACCAAAAATCTTGACTTACCGAGAAGTTGCACCAAATTTGGATGTTTGATTTCCTTCATGACAGCTGCTTCTTTTAGAAACTCTTCCACTTCCATTGTGTCCTCCTGGTTTATGACACCGAAAAGTGTTACCATACTTGTGTTGCAGTTTCACATATTTAGCACCAGAGGGTAGCATTTGTAATTTTAGAAAGGCACTCCTGTTACACTGTTCGCTCATTTACCTTTAGTGTCTTGACAGCCACTGTGAGATTGTACTTCTTCCAAACCCCCTCATACACTTCTCCATATTGCCCTCCACCCAGTTTGTGCTTCATAGTGATGTCAGTGCGTTCAATCTCCCATTTGTCATAATTGGGAGAGACCCCATAGATGGTGGGCTTGTTGCGCTTTGGTGCAGGGTAATGAAGAGTTGTTATTAGTCCATCAGCAACTGTCGAGTGATGGTGGACCAGCTCTGCCAGTGTATTGAATCGGCTCTCTGACGATACGTACAACTGTAAAGACAACAGAAAATAAATTTACATTATTGCTTATAACATTAAAACAACAAGGCGGATAACAGGCAAAGGTTGTATTGTCAAGGTGAAATTACCATAACTATCCACTCTAGCCATATTACATTTTTTTCTTTTCATGCAAGTTAAAACCTTGCACTTATGAGATGTGATGAGTTTTACACAAACACAAAATGAGCAAAATACAGTATACAAAGCAACAGTTTCTTATATTCATTCCCCAGAACACAGGATTTGAGGTCATCTTAAATTGCAGAAGTCCCTCATACCAAATGTCTGACTTGTAGCTCTCAGTGGGAGGATGGAAAACAATACCAGACAAGGAAATGTGTGTGTGTTGCATGCCAAGCTCCTCCAATCTCTCCTCTCTGTCCATGTGTGTGCATGCATACTTGGCTGCATCTGTTGGTGCTTATGCATGTCTTAGCTTGGGTGTCGGCATCAGAGTCTAGCCAGCCTCATGTCTGCTGCTGCTGTTGCCCATTACTCAAAACATAGTGGCAAAATAGATACACTCTTGCCATAGCAAGTATACCTGAAAACCAGCAGGCCTTTGCTTCACAGACCCAAGTGTTAACATATAGTTTACTGTGGCCTTATGGATGAAGAACTTTTTTTTTTTTCATTTAAGTTTATTTGGATACAAAGGAACATAATATATTGTACATTGACACAGTAAGTCATCTACAGTACCCTTTCTCCTTTTCCAAAAATAAACAAAAATCACTGTACAGGTATAACGACAATTATCCAGCTTGAACAAAAAAAAGCTTGATAATAATAAGAATATGTATGGAGAACATTTAAAGTAGAGACAGAAAACTAGCTGTTAAAAATTGGACATTTTTGCACTTTATTAGCTATCTGCCTTGAAGACACAGCACTAGGAAAACCTTTTTATATGAGCTGACCACTTCACTTAAAGATACATAGTGTCTTTACTATGAAGATGCACTGCACTAATTGTGATTACACAACTATTCTAAAGAAGACGTATTGTGCAAATGTGGCATCTTTGGTTGTGACAGTTAGGGCAATATACCATAAAGAAGCAGCCATGAATCTGCTCCTAATGCCCCATTGGGCACAATTTTACAACCACCAATCAGCGCACTTATTTCTTTTATTAAGTCATTCTAGTTCTAGATTAATATTGTGATGTAAAACATCCAAACTAAAACAATGATCCACGGGTGTCATAGACTATAACTACAGTACATAGTAGACAAAAGCACAATATGTCCTATTTAATAGTTTGTAGTAGAAAAAAAACAATGGATGTCTAAAAATTACTGACATCAATATTTCACTATTCATAACAATCTTATGTCAGCTCACTTGTTCAAATTCAGGCATACATATTGACCTAAAAATATCAGCAGTATAATTATTATCAGCAAAATCTGACACCACCAAAAGTGAATTTATATGATGTACTCATTAAGTTTTCAGTGCATATTTTAAGAAAGCACAAGAGACACAGGGCTATGAATTATCTTAACTTTTAGAAGCTTTGGTTATCTTTTCCTGGGTTCCCAGAAGCACAAGTGACATTTTCAGTTGATATATTAAAATTCATAACCATCCAATTAACCGGGCTATAGTGTATCCTGACTTTAAATGTTAAGACAAAAATGAGCCACAGAGTAGGTTAAAAAGATATGTGTACCTTGCCGTCAGACGCAGTGTTGATCCTGTAGTGGTAGACCCTTCCCTCATATCGCAGAGAAATGGAGCGCTGCCCAGGACTGCTCTCGCTTTCTCGCACCAGGAAGCTCCCGTTGATGCCAGAGCTAAGCAAGTATTCCGCAGCGTTTCGTGAGACTGGACCATGGTACCAGCTGTGCTTCTCCAAACTGTTGACTGGAGTGATGTAGTTGGATGGCACCCACCCCTGGCCATTCTTGGTCTGAGCCTCACACCACTCACCATTGTGATTATATCCCAGCACACGTAGCTTCTCTCCTGGTTAAAGATACATTGCACTGTAAAAATGTGTCTAACTAGTCTTTTAAGTAAGTCTTAAGTACTTTAAGTAAGTCAAGGACTTAAGTAAGACAACGTGATCACAATTATTCCAGTTAAGTTAACTGTATGATTCCACAAGAGTTAACTAAACTTCTTTATCAGTATCACTGATTAAACAACTGTCGCTCACGCAGAGAAAACGCACATCTATGCTGGTCCATCTTGCCGCTAACAGGCTGTACAGTGAACACTGTTCTGGGTAATATAATCTGTAGTGATCATTATGTGAATCAACATCAGTGCCATATACTGTGTAGACACACCTGCTATTGATTATTGATAGATTGATATAATATATCTACACACACATATACATACATGAATATATTTATTTCTTATCTTGCACAGTACCTGACATCTTAATGGTTTGCTTTTATACACAGTGTTAATCTGTGTACTGGTTTTCTTTTGTGGACATTATGTTCCTCATTCTTTTGTATGTGTATTAACTATTGATTACATGTGGCTCAGTGAAAAAAACTTAGGGGTGCAGCATCATCATCAGGAATTAAGTCAATTAAGTCAATCTAATGTCCTAAATATAGAAAGATAGGAAGTAGTGAAAACTGTTTACCTTTAGTAATGCTAAGTGTGTTGTCACCGCTGGCCACAAAATCATAGAGTGCAACAAACAGGTTGGGATCATTCTCACTAGGGCCTGCCAAAAGGTTCTCTTTGGAGTTCCAGCGGGCTGCTTCCGTCAGACCCTGACCCTCAAAGTCTGGTTTCTGGAGAGCTTCTACAAAAAGCACACATCAGAAAGACATTTATTTACCAAAAGTGCTCATCAAGGAAAAGTCAAACAATATGTAGACAGGACAAGTGAGAGCATGAGAGTTGTGTAGGCGTTTGTTTGGAATGCACAGCGCTGGTGTGATGGTTTCCCCATTTGACTATTCCACATGTTGGATGAATCAGCAACGTGTCAACTCTAGCCTTTCCGTGTGTCATTTACATTCCTTCATTTCCCCTGCAACATTGCCGGCTCCCAGAGACTGCCATCAGCTGTTGGATTACAGCTCCAAACCCAACCATGTGACCCAAGCCCCCAGTTGCCTCACATTTTCATTTCCTGGATTATCCCTGCTTAGTTTACATTTTTGCAGAAACTTTAACAACCATGAGAATCTACCCAAGCAAGGAATTTCCCAGTCACTTAAGTGATACAGGTAAGAAGTGCCAATTCAAAGAGTCTTAACCCATACTTACAGTAATGACAGACATTTCCCTTAAATTTCAACACCTTTAACCCAGTACATTCCTGGAAATAAGTACAAAAGCATTAAACCTCTGAGACTGCTATTAACAACTTGATGAACAGTTCTTCATTGGACAGCTAATTTTAAATGTGATCTTGTCAGTCTGATATAATATTAAAAATTTAATAAATCTCTTCAGGTTTATTATTCTGTCTGTGTCTATTACAAATCTCTCCATAATTCTGCATTTTTTTATCAAAGGTTTGACATGGTTTATAGGCCATATAAATATCACAATCAGCCATATATACACACATATATATATATATATATAACTAATTATATCTATATTATATATACACATACCATATACATTATTGCCATATATACACATTACACAACAAACTTTAATATATTATATCTATATCCTATATACGGCTTAATACAGTTCATGAAAATAATCTTTTGCTTATCATTTTGTATGAAAAAGATTGATATAATTGAACAAATTTTATGCTTTTGAAATATTTTATACCATGCTCATAAAATGAAAGGTTTTTTATCCCTCACAAATTCATTTAAAAATGCTTATCTTTATGATATGCAATAGTCTTCATGGAGGTATTGTTTGGTCTTTTACCATACTTTGGTATCACTTTTGGACATTAGGGGTGCATGGAACAGTGTTTTCTTTTTGAAAATATAAAAAAAAATTTGATTTAGCAAGATTGCTATGCCTTCAACAGTTTCCTGTCTTGATGGACCCAATATTTGATCCACCATTATTGATGGACCTCTACTGCTCCTAAGATAGTGAGTAAATTGGACCAACCTGGAGTCTCAAATTTAATGTTTTCTGGGTGGAATTTCATGCCATAGTGTCCACTTTACAGGGCTGAAAATACCACAGTGCTTTGTGAGGAGGTTGACAGCACACTGACAACACACAACACATTTCCAAAGAAATAAATTGGAGTTGACACAGGGACTTGAGCCAACAGCTCTGCTGCAGTGGAAAAGGCTTGGATTTTCGAACAAAGCCTTGTGATTGGCAGCGTCTGGGACTTGTCAAAAACATTCGTCATGTTCTTTTTGCTCAAACAACCCTCAATATGATTAAAACTAACTGGACTGGAGAGATCTTCATGTTGTCAGGTCAGCTAAATCATGCATAGGAAATAGGAGAGGGATAAAAATTACAATCTACGCTCTTTAGAAACTATTATGGCAAGCTATCAGTGGACAATAAATTGGTGATATAAACTTTTTTGTCTTTTCTCTTGTTCATTAAATGATCAATCTTCTTCAGTGAAATTTTTAGGTATATTGAGCATAATTGTTGAGGGTTTTTACCTTTCATATGAGACATTTCTAAAAACCAATCGATTAATTTTAAAGTCAGGTTAATAAGCTTTTGTTTCTACAAAATGGAAATAAGCGACAGGACTTTTGTCAGGAAACTTATAGTATAATATACTTTTTTAGGCCATCCTAATCACAATCAGAAATTATTACACCTACACACCCAACACTAAGTTATATAATACAGAAGATATTGCATATAATGATATCATATATATCCACAATATATGATATATATAAATACATTATTAGTTACTATAATACTACTAACCAGAGGGTTATACACAATACATTATTATATATTAATAAATCACTAGTATGCAAATAATTAAATCTCATTATTTAATTTCTACATTCTATTTTTTTACTTCTAAAAAACTGGTTCTGGCCTTCCTCCCTGCAGTAAGCAGTGTGTTTACCTTCAACAACATTTTACACTTTCAACTTAAACCTTTGGTTTTTCCATTTAATCATAAATAGTTATAATTATTTTATTTACAAGAAAAGCAGTGATACTTTACCTTCCAAATAACAGCTGGAGGAAGACGAGAGGCCTTTCTTAGATTTACACCCCACCAATTTCAGACATATCTCCAACATTTTCATTTGCCTACTTGATCTTTCCACGTGATTTTGTTTTCAAATCAAATACAAGGGGGGAAAAGTCCTTACTAGTATATCTTCAAATGAAAAATGTTTTCGTCTTTATCCAGTTGCGGCTGATCCTCCTTTCAACATGACTATGAAACAAAAACCAGGCGCCACAGTCCAGAAAAGGTCTACCAAATTTTTCTTCCGAGCGTCTCCATGTTTTCCATGCCTTTTGCCTTCGATAAAATCCTTCCTTACAATACAGAGCGATCCATGAGCTTTGTATGAGTTTCCTGAAGTCTGCAGTGTTGTAATGGTATCAGTTGAGTGGGCATCTAGGTGGTCTGAACGATGCCATTCCTCTCTCATGCGCCGGGAAGAGTTTAGCGGAGGGACTAGGGCTGACTCGTGCTGCCAACAAAGGGCCTCTTTCAGGATCAGCTTGCTGCACTCAGTGACATCAGCTGGGCCCTCCCACCTTCAGCAGCTCACAGGGCCAGGGCCAGAAGAATGCAAACAAACTACACCAGCACCCAGACGCCAGGCTGACATGACGTCTCAGTGGTCCTGCAGAAATCCAGTTGTTTTAGCAGATTATTCCACTTTCATCTGTGCTCATGAGCTACTTCAGGCTATTAAGCATCTTCAAATTCTTCATGCAGTACTCATTCCTTTCCACATTCTGCTGATCTCTAACTCTAAGAGACAATCAGGGCCTGAAAGCAATGTTTGACATCTACAGTTATTGCTAGAAATCAAGCCAATTGCATTCCGTGGTTCATGCCATTTTAGGGAACATACAAGTGGAATGGCTGTGCAATTAATACAAATTTAAATTGAGACACAGTCATTTCTAATCGTCAACTATATGCTTAAGTATCTTTTTAATCAAAGAGTCTAGTCCTTGGTAAAAACACGTTATTTGGAGAAGATTTTGGCCTTACAAAAATAGTTTTTTGTGGTTTAACTGAGTTATTAAAATTTGTCTTGTATGTTGAGATCATTTATACTGAAAGCAATTTTATTTGTTTTTAATGCAATTAAATCAGTCTTTGTTCATGATTTATTAACAAGATTTGTACTGGGTTAGTTTCTGTAAAAGCTGACTTCAAGGAGATATTTAAACCAGTCCCTATACTAGGACTATGTTGGACTCAAAACTTTTTGGATAAGATGCAAAACTTTGTCACTCCAAAAATATGTGTCCAGTTATCTGAATTTAACATTTTGCAATATGACTAGTTGATGCATTTCAGCCTCACTGCATGCTTTATTGAGTTAGGTCGCCATAATCAAGCCTGAACCCACAAACTACATTTTGTAGGTATAAATTAGACGGTGGAATGAAATGAGTGCATCATGTGGTGTGTGTTGGACTCCAGAGATAAGAGGGTGATTAAAGTGTGGCAGGAAGCTGATGCTCTCTCAAACGGACAGGGGGGGGCTATTGCTGAAATTGTGGATTTCAGTCAAATTAGAGTGTAATGTTCAGTATTGTCCTGAAGAACAGCATCAACGTACCAAAGTGTTTACCATACATTTTGTCCAGACTACATGGCAAAAACATGTTTAAGAATTTACCCTCAGACTATTTCATCATAATGCTACTTGTCTTTATATTTAATTATATTTACTGTATGTTGTTTATGTCAAAGTAGGTCTGGATAATATGAAAAAAAAATCCCTCATGTTTATATAACTCCCATTTCTTCCGGGAAAGTCTTAAGTCTGCTCCAAACCACATGCTTTTACTGACAAGACGATAGGCTCAGGCTGTACACCTCTCAATTAAAAAGACCCAGGCATATCAGGGCACTAGGGCTATAGCCGCTTAGTCGTCTTTATATAAATAATATATATTATATAATAATATATAATGTTTCCAAGTACTTTTATTATATAACATATACTGTTTCCAAGTACTTATTTGCATAAAAAGTTTTTGCATGTACTTCCCTGCAGTTGTGGCCTTATGAGTACAGTTTGGGTCAGATACATTGAGATATGTAATATCTTTGAGATCTTTTGAGCTTATATCACTTCCCTTTTTTAGCCCACTAATTCGGCAGGACATGTTTTAAGAACAAAACTTTAATTAGTCTAATACAGCCCTAGATGACTCAATCAAAAGTATAGTCAAGCTAGTTTTTAAACTATGGAGGAGAATACACTGGGACTATATAATTTCACTAAACTAAAGAGGCACTAACACACATGCATAACTTAAACTCAGATTTTTGGAAATGACCTCACAGCATTGAGTCACTTTGGCAGCCCACCAGCATCATCATCACTACAGCAGAGATGCTATGGCAAACATTTGTGTTCTTCTGTTGCACCATTCCAAACAGTCATTATGAAGAATCGCACACTTCCTGGGACGCTGAGAGACTCATTAACTCACCACAGTCAGGATGGAGGGAGAAGAGCGCTCATAAAAATGCATAGAGAAAAAGGTTGCAGATGGAGAAACATGAAGCACATTGTTTGAGAGTGAGCTCATAGGGGAATCATTGGCGTTTTATAATCCTGCCGAGTATGTTAGCAGTTAGCTGACGTATATCCGCCCATGGGATGCTTCATGGCAGCGTTTCTCCCCTGTTGCTTTGCTCATGGTTTAATTTTTCAGTTTTTTAAAAGGAGAGAACAACAAGTTGTATATCTTATGGACCCCACTAAGAAAATATACATAACAGAACATACAATGGTGACATAAATACAAATACCCAACTCATGTCAAGAAATTACAAGGTATTCTAATCCATGACAACTGATCCATGCAAAAAACATTTAAAAGCATTTTAATGGTTTAAATCAGAACAGTTTTACTTGGGTTGAAAAAAAAGCCACAATTCTTAATGCCACAGTGTGTCCTACCTATGGAATTTTAAAGACTTGTGGCAGACTGGGCAGCGTTTGAGCCTCACAGCTGAAAGGTCACACGTTATTTATGTGTGGAATAAACATGTTCTCCCTGTGTCTACATATTCGTTTCTCCTACCACTAAAAACAAACATAAAAAATGTACAATTGTGTCAGATCTATTAAATAAAATAAACAAAATTAATAAATAGTTTACTAAAACATAATAACCCATAAAAACATTCTCTTGAAGTCTTTGATGGACCAACTTTCGTGATGTATTTAGTGGAGCTGACATGGATCACTAAATTTTTATGATGCAATAGCATTTTACATCCACATTTTACAGATGCTCTCAGTCTCTCCAATGTGATTAGAGGTGACCCATTAACCACTCTCTTTCGCTCAGCCACACAACTGCGTTCACAAGAACAAAAGCAGACCAAGAAGAGAGGAGAAAACACAGATCCTGCTACTTTTGGAACAGAACTAGGAACTATTTTCTAATGACAGACAAAATAAGGCAACATAAACTAGGTGACTAAGCAGAACTTTTGCAAATCTCAACTCAAACCAGTGAAGCAACTGACCAAGACCAAAATCTGGAGAAACTGGTTAATTGTATTAATAAAAGTTCAGAGTATAAAATGAGAAAAGAAATGCAGGTCAAATTTGCACAACCATTCATCATCATGTGTCATAGATAAACTGTAGGATTAGTAACAGACTCATATGTGGGAGAATGGAACCTTTCCAGTGCAAATTATACACAATTGCGTCATCACAACATTTTGCTATATATATTTAGTTTTGAGTGTGAGGAATAGAAAAACTCTAAGACAGTAAGAATCTAAGACAGTAAAAGATGCAAACTATGTCATTACTATAATTTCGGTATGTGTGTTTCATTTAGGGGCATCATGACAAACATACAATAGATAACATAAAGTAACCGAGCAGAGGACCTAAACTAAAATGTCTTAGGGATGTGCTTTCTAGGCCCAGAGAAATGCCTATGGACAAACTCTTGCCAAAAGAGAAACAGACAAATATAAAAATAAAGGGACTATAGGGCCTCAGCTTAGGTCTTTCTTTGTGTCTAAGTGGAACCAGATGCAGCACACACTGCAGGCCCCCCTCTTATAGAGCGAGAAGTCAACACTGCGTCAAGGGACAACCGTATATCAACACTGTGCTTGACTCCCATATACAAAGGACATTAAAATCACTGGAACTTTGGTTTGGAAAGATACGGAGGTGGATCGAGGAGGATATTTCATTTATCCACTGTCACACTTCCTAAAGACAGTGACTTCAACTTCAGTAATCTAGATCAGGATACATTAATCATGCCATGTGATGTACAAAAGATAGAGGCTCGCTAAACAACCAGTGACAATGTTACCATAAGAAAGCAGGCTGTCTGCTGACAAAACAACAGCTGTGTCTGTCTGATTGCTGCACACACTGGGCATATGTTGTACTGTGCTGGTAAAGGTGCTCGAGACAGCCACAGAGAGCCTTCAACCTACACTGACAACTTTTGACACTTCAAACTTCTCATTTTATCTTTACTGTAACCAAATCAACAGAAAGTACAGGGCAGGGTGAATATCTTCTGTTTATGTCTGTCTTCTAGATGTTTAAATAATTTACAAAGAGAGAGGGAAATAAATAAGGAAACCATGGTGTGGAAAAATCCAAAATAAGATCTCAATGAGCCCTATTTTTCAAGTTGTCATGTTATGTATTTGTTATATATTCTTGGCAGAATCTTTATTAGTGACGTACTACCAATTTGTGTCATTGAATCATAACAATTATATGTATAAGATATGAACAAAAGACTGAGGGAAGAAGAGGAGAAACAGGGATTGCACCAGTTATTTGAGAGGAATGCACAAGAGGTCACATTCTTCTCCACAGCCATGGCTTGCAGTGTTTAACTCAATGGTCTATGGTTAACAAAAAGGCCAATATTACAACCTATCTGAGTGGGAACAACTGAACACACACACAGGTATTAATGCATAGACTTCAGTCAGTATAAACTATCAAATTAAGATGATTCTGAATTGTAAAAATAAAAGTAGAAAAGGTAGTATGTGGAGAACAATGATTTCAAACATGCAAAATCCAACATAACTTTCTACTTATGTCCAAATAATTTGTTTACATAAGATAAGTTGTTCAAGCAACAAATAATTAATAAATATGGTTTAAAAGCAAGTTTACCTTTAGTGGATGGCACAAAAAAAACAATTCCTAACAACAGAGCCTTCTCTAGTAAAACTAACAACAAACTCTCTGCTGGAGCTAAAAGGTACCCGATACACTAAAAAGTGCAAATATTGGCCAGATGTCAACCAAAACTTACATCAAAGTTACCAATGTTAAACAAAAAATACATGGTTAAGACCAATGTCATCCAAAGAAACTGAAAGTTTTCTGATGTCATACTATGCCCATCATGGCCAGCCAGGGCGAGGACAGGCTCAACAGCTGCCTACCACAGGGCGCACAAACACACACTAGAGTTGAAGCATGGAGGACCCCCTCCTCCAGCCATCTTCACAGCCCCCGAGGATCATGGGAGATTTGGTGTCTAGACTATATGGATTTCAAACGGTCCAACTAGGGCAGGGAATATGGGGGAAAACATTTGCTAGTATTGATCAGTCCATTCTATTCATTTTTTTCCTCATACAAAAGCTAATATAAATGTATTCTTTATGAATAAGTCTTTTAGTGCTTGCACATGCATTTACTGACAGAAGATTTTACTGACAGAGGTTCAACAACTACTAATCAAATCGACTTCCGACCAACAAGAATGCAGCTAGAATCAACTGGTGTCACTGAGAGGAGTAAGGGGATGAAGCAAAAAAAAACAACCTTCAGATTTAATAAGAACACTCTGCAAATGCAATTGTAATTGTGAACAGCTAAACTTTTATGCTTAAATTGAAATTATCATAAATAATAGTGAGTGTGTAAAAATATTGTGCTGCAAAAACTGTGGACTGGTCAACATCATCTACTAAAATCCTAAACGTGGTGCTGGAATAAGAAAGAATACCCAAGTATTTAACAATTGTGCTGCTCCTGCATTTGACCACAGGTTGGCACTGTTCAGTATATTGCAAACACTGTTGTTGCACATAACTTGAGTGATGGAAAAATCATGAGCCACCCAAACACTCTTAGGTTTACCCCCAGAGGTTAAATTGTAGAAGTATGTTAGAACCATCATCGTACATACACCATCTTGTTGGTAGAAACATGTTTCCATTTTCGGCATGATATTCTATCTTGACACACACAAAACACTTAAGGCAGAAGCTTATTTGTTCCTATTGTACTTAATCATCATTGCTTTGCCTGGAATGTTCCACAGCCTTGAATTAAACTGATATATTTGTTTTTATTGCTAAATCATTCCTTAAGTAACATGCATTCTAACTGTGAATGGAACATCTTCAAGTGGCATCACCTGCTTGACTTGACTATACTGTAAAACATCCTGGGTAAAGCAGTAATATCTCCATGGAGACAAGCAGGTGGCAGACCTTCAACCAGAAAGGTTATATAGTGTGCCTTAAAATATCAGCATGATTTTTCTGCTTGTCTAAAGCTCTAGAAGTGTACATGAATCACTTTGTTCAAGGTCACTATATAGATTTTTGAGACTGGAATTCCGTTTCTGTTACTGAGAAACAGTTTGAAATCATCTACAGGTATATTTTGCAAAGTGAACTATTTGGCACATGCCATGTTAGGTGGCCAACCAGCAAACTCATAGCTCCACAATACAGTGCAGGATGCCACAGCTGAGGCAGGTCTTAGCTTGTCCTCAGTCAGTGTCTCTTCCAGGCAGCTGCAGGCAAAGGTCTAGGCCTGCCTGTTTAAAACACTATGGTGCAGGCTAACTCTATGCTAGCAATTTGGAGCTTACAAAGTATAGAAAAACCTGTATGCTCAATTTGATTGATGATAGTATCTACACTCCTTCAGCAAAATGACTAATGAATTCTTTAGAAATGATAAATGTCATACATTTAATTGCAAAAAGCAAGTAAATGTGCAATGTGTTTTTGCATATTTATTAAAAAGCCTATTGTATTGTATTGCATTGTGAAAACGAATATTGAAATAAAGCAACTTCACAGAAGTTCTGATTGTACTTTTACAATAACATGGGAAAAGATGTATTGATGGTCATTTTTGGCTCAGTGGTACAGTGAACCTCTTTGAAAAAAATCTTTCTGGTTAAATTTTACTAATTACAACTTGTGAACAATTTACTATAATACAAACAAAGTATGTGTCTGAATTCCATGGGCCCCATTTTTTTTCACAAGTGATTTCAAATTGAATTTTTCCAGTATAGTCTAGTTTGAACAGGTATTGATACTGCCTGCTCAAACAAACCTTTACTGATTAGCTTTAAAAGTACCTTATGGAACATCACTATGGCAAATACCTGGACGAATGAGGCATACGTAGGTATACCACTACATGGTCATTTAAAAGTAAGTACTATTATTTAATAACATTTTATTGTCTAAAGAAAGAGTGCATTTATTATCACTGTGGCATTGAAATTGAGAATCAAGTTTGAAAATGTAATATTGTGACACTATAATCTAGTAGAGACAGCTATAGTGTAGTCTGATATGTTCTTGTTTTTTCTTACCATGAACTGCAAAAACATTACACGGCTGACTCCCATGACGTGATGACTCCTTCTTTCCACCTTTGATGAAAGCTGGCAGACTGGGTCTCCTCTGGTCCCCTGCAAATTTTCCCGGCTGCTGCCCCATAAGGGCAGAATGCCAGGCCGCAGCCGGGACTCTCCAAGCTGGACGGTGCTGTTTAATGCCCAAAATATGGGTGTTTTGGCAAAGAAGAGGAGAAATGTCCAGCCCCGTCCACAATGCAGTTTGTGAGCAACTGTGGTAGATCCGTAGCACTCAGGTATACTTGAGTTATTCATTCATCAAAATAACTTGAATGATGTGTTATCAAAGGTCACAAAAGGGAACTTCAAAAGCATCTATGGGAGGAAAAACAAAATACAGAAATAAATCAGATGTAACATGAAAAGTATCTATTGAGTTGTGTGCTCATCTTTGTGACATACAAGATTATAGGGATTTTTATTTTGTAGTAATGTTAACTTTATACATTGTGTCAAAGGGTTTACACTAGTTATCATTATTATTATTATTATTATTATTAAAATTTTAAGAATCACCACGACTAAACAAGAGAGATCTCAGAGCTGGTATGGATGCAAGATTAGAGTCAAGCCACAATCAGTCATCTTTAGCGGATTGCTATTTGATAATACATACTAACTTTCCTCAACGTCAATAACTTTCTGCTATGTATATGCGAAAGTAAGAAGTATGTGCATAGACACAGTAACATCTCTCGTAGACAGTTAAAACATCTGTGCAAATAAAACAAAAACAAAAACAAAAAAACAAAAAAAAAAAAAACGTGTTTTACCTTTAAATCGCGGGGATTGCTGGTTAGCCGCCGACCTCAAGCTAATGCTTAAAGTAGCCATGGGAGCTAACCCTTCAATGCACATTGAGCAGACAGCACTCGGTTTTGGACATCTAAATCAGAGTCGTGAATTCACTCCATCATCTACAATAAACACTTAAAACACAATTGTCCTTCGCGTGCTGCATGGACAGTGCAACTCTTCAAAAGAAACCTTCTTCAAACTTCCGCGTCAACTCTTGCGGAGTTTCTTCCCTTGCGGTACCAGAGTACAGGCACTTCAATCAAGAAGGCGTAGAGATATTAAAGAAATTCCACTAACTAAACTCCACTAACTTCTACAGAAATTGCTTTACTCTGGTCACATTCGCCTCGCCGCTCGTTACCAACCCATGGAATTTCATACTTATTCATTTCTCTCTCGTGGAAATCTGAACCATAAACTTTGCCTAAATGCTAGTTTATCGCTGAGGCCGCCATACTTCCATACGCAAGGTGGTTTACAGAAATATGTGGGTGGGACAACGTGTGACGTGATCGTGCGTGCGTGGGCTAGCCAGGGCCAAGTACTTACCATGGATATGTTATAGTTTCATGACTCCAGTTCTGTCTTTGGAATAACTGCTTCATCTCTACAGGATTCCCAGCGACCATACTTTCCAGTGGACATATATGGTGACCCCATCCTTTCTCCACCTAACAAGATAAAGGCATTTAAACGTGCACTGTGTAACTTTTTTGATGGGGCTTCCGTTACCTGTGTGTCACTATTGACAAACAGGCAATCCTTTGCCTGCAAAACTGATACCATATTTTTTATCATTAAATTTCACATTGTATTCCTCCTAAATACGTCAACTTACTACTGAGTAGGGTTGCCTTCCCACAGATCTGACCTGTAACGTGGCTTGGTGACGTCACGTACGTGTCGAAATGGACTGTATGGCAATAACATCTCATAGAGACAAGCAGGTCGAAGAGTTCTAAAGTGTACTTTCGATTTATTTTAGAGTTACCCGTAATTAATGAACAGGTCTGTTGTAGAACAGTAACCACTCTCCATCCCCATTCTTTCACAATAATCTGAAGGGCTAAATAAATAAAAAAACTGACATTGCAAAAAAAATAATTTACTGAAGGAAAATAAAGTCAAAACAACAATAACATTTCAGCTGTAAATAGTTACAGATCGAAATTAATTCACATGCTTTTAAAAGTCTTCTTTTTGATTTTAGGAATGATGCGGCCTTTCTAACATTCATGTTCCAAAAGTTTCTGCTGTGTCAACAACACAACCTCCTCCATTACTTCCGGCTTTAGGATGTCTTTCACCTGTTGTGAAGAAAAACACATTGCATAAATCTGAAGTCAAGATATAATAAAAATAAGGCAATCCAAACATTGTAGTCCCGACCTGGTGTTGAAGAGAAGATTCATAGCAATACAGCACACTTGTGTCATAAAGAAGAACTTTGTGTGCAGCTAAAGCTAGAAGACAGTTCCTTAGTCTTGAAATCACTTCTCTATCAGAGAGGTTAACTGGCTGAAACGACAGAACATCTATTTATAATATAGCCATTCAAATACACATTATATCAAACTATTTTCTGACAATGATTAACAGAGAATAAAAATTTAGACACCTCTAAACTGGTGTAAAAACCTCCAGCTTCCTCTTCCTGTTGTGCCGGAGTGGGGTAGAGCCAGACAAACCCATTGTTACCAAGAATAATGGATGCACCACATGGCAAGTTGTGAAAATGTGTCTTCTGTCTCTTGATCAATGAGGGTGAAAGCTGCACTAATACACCCTGACCAAGCTGATAAATTCAGAGGTATAGTTCAAATAATTAAAAATACATCTGTGTTCATGTATTATATACACATTTTAATATAATACTATTAATGTATAACTTACTTTTCCATATTTTAAACTTCTTGTATGAAGTGATAATGCCCCATCAGAAAAAACTGACTGCACTTCTGCCTAAAGTGACAGCAGAAAAGCACAAAAAGAAATGAAAGAAAAAATTAGTATTGGATATAGACCAATAATGTCAGTTGGCCTATATGTATACTTATTATTTTTAATTTGAAATATAAAATACACTGATAAGATCTCCTTCTTGAAGATATTCTCTCATGGTGAGCTCATCCTCTGCTGACCTTCTCCTCTAGTAGAAAGCAAAATCAAAAATCAGCAAAATACACTAATGGCAAATTTAGAAATGCACTGAGTCTCACCAGCTCTCCACCAGGCAGATTCACTGATGACAACAGGAGTACAGAGTCCAATCGGGAGTTTGTTTCCACTTTCCAACGTTTCTGCTGAACCTTTTGAATACAGAGAACACATATATATGAATTATGAGTTATACAGCAACATTTTTTTTTACCATACCTCTGTTATTCTCCCTACAACCACATCTCCAACCTCCCCATTGAATCTGTAGAATGAGGCCACAACACACAATGAGAAAGTTAAATTATTAAAATGGTGGACAAACAATTTGTTAACAGTTTTCCTGAATGAAAACTGATTTTTACAGTTTACCTGGTTTTTAGAGGGCTGACGCAAATTAACTTGTCAACTCTCTGCACCTCTCCAGCGACAGACGCAGTCAATTTCTCTTCATCAACATAAGTACCATGACCCCTAAATTTAAAAAGATAGATTGGTCTCATTAAAGGTGCGCCATGTAACTTTCTGGTGAAGTGTCTCAAAGTTACAAGTAGGACTGGGCAATTAATCGAGTTAATTTATGTTTGTAATGAAAACATGAAATCCATCCATCCATTTTCTTCTGCTTTATTTGGGGCCAGGTCGCAGGGGCAGTAATCTGAGCAAGGAGACCCAGACTTCCCTCTCCACACACACATTTCCTCCATCCCGAGGCGTTCCCAGGCGACCCGAGAGGCATAGTCCCTCCTGCGTCTCCTGGGTCTTCCCTGGGGCCTCCTCTTGGTGGGACATGCCAGGGGGCATCTGGAAGAGATGCCCAAGCCACCTCAGCTGGCTCCTCTCAACGTGGAGGAGCAGCAGCTCTACTCCAAGTTCCTCCTGTGTGACTGAGCTCTTCATCCTATCTCAAAGAGAGTACCCAGCCACCCCGCAGTGGAAACTCATTGAGGATTATTATCAAACAAGTTTACTCCTAATTTTATTACTCGCAAAGCAAAAGTTACTGTGCTTTTTTTTTTTTACCATATTGCCTAGCCCTAGTTACAGGTTACAGCTGTGGAGAGGCTGTTGAGAGGTCAGAGAACAGTAAGAATGCAGGTTTCCATTAAGGTATTTTCTTAATTTAAGAAAACCCGTAACTGTAACGGAGAAGGATTTATGTTTTTACTGTGGAGAATTCCAAGCAAAGCAATAACATCTCCATGGAGATATGCTGGTGGCAGAAAAGTTACACCTTCAAATTTTACAAATGTATATCATTCGACTACCTCATAAAACCGGTATCTGTTGTTATCACATCGCCGGGCACCACCAGATCCTTCCGATCAAAAAAAGAACCCGATAAAGTCAATGGTTTTCGCACAGTTGGTAGTCTCATGTCAGCCATGCTTGCTGTTAGGTCTTCTTCAGGATTTTGGCACAAGCCTTGAGACAAAGTGCTTACCGCCCCCTAATGGCAGCTGTAACCCCTCATTATGGTATTAGTGGTGGATAAACATGGATCTGTTAAAAATAAAGATAAATAAAATATAATGTATTAATAAGAGTTGAAGAAGAATTGCAAACAACAACCTACGCTGACAGCGTAATGTTGTTACAGTGATACATACATAACAGTAAAAATCAGGTCTTGTTTCTCCCAAACGCTCTTATACCACAAGATGTCGATGTTTAGCTACGGTTTTTTTTGACCCCACCACATCGACAAAACGGAACGGTGACGTCTCAGGTCAACAAGACGAAAGCGTCTTGGCCGCAGCCAATCAGCGCACAGACTGAAGTGCTCTTGTAAAGATGGCGTCCGTGAGGGTTGTACGAGTAAAAGCTGGACGCTTCGCCGTCGCTAGCTCTGATTGTACTTCATTTGAAACAGTCCGAGCGAGTATTACCTTTGTTTATATTGTCTAGGGAACTCATTATCAGTCCGAGTTTTATTGCGGGGGTTTCTTTTATCTTCGCTTATGATCGATTTGGCTGGTTATTAGCTTCAACTTGGAAAAGCCAGCGCTAGCCCTGGCTAAGCTATGTAACGCCACAGCTGTTTTGGCATCTTTGTGTAGCGTTCCTGGAGTGATATTTTGGGAAGCAAAGTACTCGTGTCGATCTGTTTTTTTTTTTTTTTTTACAAAACAAAAACTGCTGGTAATGACTCGGTTGGATTAAAATAATTTTGTAGTTAGCGGGTGACTGGTCCTCTGGCATTGCGACACTGTTTTGGAGTGTCACGGTGGAGTAAGCCGTCATGTATTTTCTTACCGGCTGGCCCCGGAGGCTGCTCTGTCCACTAAAGAGCAAGGAAGAGCCCTTCTTCATCCAACCCAGCTCCCAGCGCTTTTACTTCGCCGTGGTCTCTCAGACTCAGCTGAGCATCTGGTTTAGTCGGGTAGGTCCCTCTCCAGCTTTATTTACCATGCAGCGTCCAGTATTTGGCAGTGACATTGCTATGATTTTCTTTATCTCTTCTATTCACAATTGTAAGTACATTATCTACACAACATTTGAATAGCTGACTGCAAGGTGTATACAGCTTCCCCATTTGCTCACTTTCAGTCTTGAGAGTGGCTCATCTCGTCATGGTTGGCTACTGCTTTGTTGATGGGTTCTAACAAAGTCTCTCACATATACGGGGCATATTACACTTTTACACTGACTAATCCCATCAGTACCCAGTCTCCGGTTAAATTCAATTTATTTAGTGGAATAGGAATCCCCGTAATTTCCTGTCAACATGTCACTGAGCCTTTACAGCCATTTCAAAGGAAGAAGATGTTTGTAGTTTGCATTGTTCATACAATATTTTTTGTTCATTTGTTCCCCATATTTATGTAGTTACTAATAGTTACCAGTTTTATATGGATACGTAGAGATCGACCGCTTTACGTTTTTCCATCGCCAATGGTTCGAATCCAGAGCAGCCGGTGGCCTGTTATCTCTGCCGATGTTTTTAGACCAATATGTGTGATATGATGGCAATTTTCCCCGAATAATCTAATTTGAATTTAATACAGACCCACCCATGACCTTGTTTTACTACGTACTGGATGAGGGAGCAGTGTATTCATATTTTTGCACTCCCCCTTTTGCAAGATAGGCTTTATGCACATGTTCTCAGTGCATATTTAGGCAGCTGGTTGGACCAAACTAAATATCTACCTGATATGCCAAAAAAACTTCCAACGGCCTGATATATCGACCAACCGATATATCTCTGTCCAACAGTAATGTACAATAAGTAGCCTAGATCAGTAATTTCACCCATTTTGTCTCATATGGGACCATACAATACACTTGTTGGGGTGCCTTTTATTTTATTCCATCAAGATGATTGAGGCTTTCCCTAAACCCTTATTAGAGTTACAGTTACATTATGACAGCAACTATACTGTTCATCAGGTGTGTGTTTTTCCTACCATATATTACACAGACAATTTCCACACAGGGAATGTTTGTTTGCCCAGATACAACCCCAAGTCAATACACACAGCCTGCAGTAAAATGTGAAATGCACACTGTGAACACAACTCATTTGTACCATTAATACTACAATTGTCACCACTAATTATATGTGATGTTTTTGGATTTGTCCACAGCCCAGTGTTTTGATTGTCAGCTACATTGAATCAGTAAAAGCTGCGACCCAGTTTGGATCTTATGAAAAAGCGGAATGGAAACCAGACGACTCGATGATAGCTGTGGCGGTAAGCAGTGTTCCTTATTCACTTCTCACGTTCATACTGAAGAAAATGATATTTTAGTGTTTGTGAAAAGACAGTTTTGGAGTTGTAAAAACGGCATCAAATTCACAACTGCAGCAGGGGCACAAATTATAGAATGAATGATTGGCTGCAGGTGTTTAGGTAGGGTTTAGGTAGTGAGGATTGAGATGAGAGAGAGGCTTTTAGGTTTAAAACAACTGGATTTCAGCATTGCAACTGGCAGAGGGACTCGTGCGAGGCTCTTTCTACTTTCTGATTGGACAAAACACCAAATTGTAACATAAACAATGTGGAAATCATGTCCAACTCTTTTTGTAATTAAGAATACGGGATTAAAGTTGTTGTCACTAAAAGGTATGTTTGTTTTGAATATGTCTGCCCTGTAACTGAGAACACAGATGGGTTATGTTTGCGAAATTTAAAGTCGAATCTTGCTTACGTTTCCTTTTAAAATATCAACACATTTTACTCAGAATTTGCTGAAATGTTCATTTGTACTTTCTTTGCTCTGGCACATGGAGAACTAACTTATTGTTCATGGCCATACCAGCTTGTCAAAGTCTGATCTCATCAAATCTCAAAAGCTAAGCAAGGCCTGGCCTAGGTAGTACTTGGATGGGACACCACTTGGAATTCCAGATGCCACAGTGGGGTGCCAGTGCCAAAAACTGTAGCTGTGTTCTTAGGCAAGACAATTCACCCACATTTCCTAGTCAGAAAGTGGAGTGTGTGTGTATGTAAGTGTAGGTGGTGGCCGGAGGGACAGATGGCCTAATTATTTAATTAGTTTTTATTATTTTGTGCGGTAACATGTGAGCTATATATTGTCAAATATATTTCATTTACAATATGGTTAAGTTAGACAATATTTTAATGAGATTGTCAGTGGCATGAGTATTTTAAAGTTTCTTGTGATATTTTTAAGTAATATATAATAGCATTTGAAATTTGTGTTGTTGTGACAACCAGGCATAGTTGGCAAACAAACTTTGAACCAAACTGATTTGTTATTTGGGCAAAGTGACCAATAATTGCAGTTATGCTGTTCTAGTAACTACCTCCTTAATTTGCTTGTTGCATATGTTTCACCTACAATAATATTTCTTTATATTGTATTGCTTACTCAGGTTTCTACTGTTGTCCTTTTATTACTTCACTATAGCCAACTGATTGTGTTCACCAGGTCACATTAATCTTGAACAGTGTTCAAACCCTGTATGGCAATATGGCCCCATCAGCTTCTGTCAATGATCCTGATTCAACATGTTTAAGTTGTGTTTATGTAGAGTTTGATGCCACAGCAGACAGCTGCAGAGTCCGGTGTGTACAACTTTATGAAGACAGAACAAATTTTATTTGTTTTAGTGGGTTTACCCAAGAAAATGCATTATAATGATATTTTAAAACATACTTTGTTTTGTTAGCATTTTCATGTTAACTCATAGAAATTCTTGAATGGTGGAAGTGCAATGTTGAGCAATCTTACTTTAGACAAGAAGTGGAGTCCACAGAGGACTCAGTCAGACTGTCAACTGTCATCAAAGTTAAGCTGAGTAGGAGCACAAAAATACTCAGCAGAGAGCTCTGTGTATTTAGTTGTACATGATACCTTAAGGTACAAACGACCAGCACTACTACTCAGTTTGACCATGCTTGTTTGCAATTAGTTATTTATTGTGAAACATGGGGAAATGCACATACTGCATTGGTAAATAAAATGCATAAATGGGAAGTTAATTGTCATTTTATAACATATTATTTGAATACAAAAGGCAAATGTGTACTTCATGTGAGTTGTGAATATGTCTGGAATATAGATCAGTTGACAGGCCAGTTCAGTTAAACACAAGGGAGCTAGTACGTGTTCACATCCTGGACCCCACACACAAGTGGCTCTACTATTTTGTGTCTGTATGAAAAGTAATATTTATTTTATTTATAAAACGTCATATACAACCTATATAGCTGCTGACAGTACTCGTATATGTTTTTTTCTTGAAATAAGAATGTGCTGACTTTTAGATTTGTCAGTATATTTAAATTCTATTTAGAGGCAAACTAGACACAAAAAACAAGTAAAGCCCCTTTTGGAAAAGAGCAATACAAGTGTGTGATATATTATGATTAGATATGATTATCTTACCATTAACACCAGCAACTGAAATAGACCATACATAATATGCTAAATGTCTCATTGTGATGAAAAACATACGTGTGTAGTTACAGTAATTACATCAAAATGATCGTTCAATACATTTTAGATGGAACTAACATTTCCAGAGGTACACATATTTATTTTAGGTACTTCTTCTTTCTACTAGTGGATAATTTTTTGTTTTAAAAATTAGTTTTGATATTATTGTTTATCATCAGTATTTTTCTCATATCCTCATATATCAACACTTCAAAATGTTATTGTGACAGGCTTAGTATACATGTAATAGAAATTGTTACATAACTTGATAAATGTTTTTATTTTACTTGGATCACACCCAATTTAATTGCATTATTGTGTATGTGTGTTATCAATCCTGAATGCCTGCTGCATCTTTGTCATACATTTTGAATATATCGTAAAAAGCCCCCCATTACTTTTTGCCTAAAAATAGAGGCAGTTTTTCATCTCTTTTTCTAGTGTAGAAAGACATACAAGCTCACTATAATTACAGGTACTCTGCTACTTCCCCTCATTTAACATCTTAACATTTTGCCTTGGCTTTGCTAAAGTACCTCCCCTTAATAATCTCACTATGGTGTTATTGTGCTCAGATGTTGAGAGGTGGGGACTTGGAATCAGCCTTGCCAGTTGTCGTCACCTCAACAATCAGCTGTTTTCCAGATGTTTAGCTTCTCTTGGCCTGCAGTCCCTGAGACTTGTGTACTAACCTTGCACAAACCACAGCCCTGTCTATTTTAAACGTATTTCTTTAACGAATGCTTAAGTTGGAACAAGAGACATAAGTGATGGAATGAGAGGTATTATTTTTGATATGAAGAAAACATTGAGTGATTCTGACACGGGGAACACTTACTTATATAACATTTAATTATCCCTTTTCTGTGTGTGTTGGGATTTGTCCAAGCCTCGAATGTTCCCTTTCTCCTTTTTTAGAGCCACACACCAAATTATAAACAGAAATGTCTCTTCACTAGGGAGACGTTTTTCCAACAATTTTCTTTAGTTTTACAGCACAACACTTTTCACACAGCATTTGTGTTCTAATCTACTCATAGGCTTAATTTATTTTATGATGAAAGCTTTGAGCCCTATACTATTTTCTTTCTCTTAAAGAGACAGTAGATTTAAAACTTAGGAACTGGACTAATCTGACCAAATCCTGATTTATTCTTACTTACAGCAACATGATGGCCAAGTTGTTTGTTGTAATTTGGTGTTTTGATTCTCAAAATGATTATCCATCCAGAAACCACAATGAGTCTTACATGAGTCTTTCTTTGGGGTTGCCAGTTTCAATGCTGAATCCAGTTGGTTTAAACCTATAAGACTCTCTGATCTGAATCCTCACTACCTAAACTCCAGCAGCTGCAGTCATTAATCAGTGCTAGTGCAGCTTCTGCAGCTAAGTGAGGGATTCTGGGGCCTCATTTATAAAGGACTGCGTAGGAGCTGTCTTAAGCTAGTGCGTACTCCTAGTGGCCACCAGAGGCATGTCCTATGCCATGCAAACTCCAAATTTAGAAAACCCTCTGCACACGCTGAGCCATGCAATCTGTGCTTTATAGATTGCACCTGCAGCTAGAATCTGCGCATGTAAACCCACGTCACGCCCTCTCCACACCTCCACCTCACCATAAAGGGACCATGCAAAGGGACTCGTGAATGAGATTTCCCTAAACATGAGCCGATAATCAGTGAGTTTGACTGAGACAGAGCGGGAGGAGACGCTCTTCGCAACACCACATGGTCACATCAATGGCTTAAAGGTTTTACAAATAAATACAAAACTAAAATGACAACAGTGACTCATCTGTTAAGTTAATATTTCATAATATTTAAGCAGCACATCTTTGCAGATAAAACCAAATTGTTTTCTCGCTGTTTCAAGAGTTTTATCACTATATATGAAGTATGCCTTTGATGTGTGTGTGGGGACTGGTCCTATTTATGCACATACACTAGTAGATACATGCATGCGGTGGTCTGAATGGTCAAATTATGAGCACGTGCCAGAGATTCAGATGCCCTCCCTGGGAGACCGAAAGGAGCAAGGGAGGGATACATGGATCAGCGGCCAGGGGACAAGCGCTTCAGCAGGTAGAACACAGATTAAGTATGTAATACATCAGCTATCAGGAGCTATTTTATTTACATGGATTTTTTGATAATTTCCTGATCAAACACTTCTTTAAAACTCTCTTCAGTTTTGCTCCTCTCCACAAGTGCCGCTTTTTCCCCATTTCTGTAGACTTTGCGCAGAGCTTACAGTAGGGTCCTAGCTGCCATAGAGATAAGCAAGCAGGGCGCTTAGGACGAGTTTCCAAAATCCTGCAGTTGGTGTAAAGAGCACCTACACAATGATTTTTGCGTAAACGATCTATATAAATGAGGCCCCTAGAATTTATTACTTTTCACTTGAAAGAATGCCTGTCTACACAATGAGAGTATAAACCGTAAACAGTGAAGGTTACATACTGTTCAATGTGAGAATCATAAAAGGCATAGCCTTGTTTTGCTGTCACTAGAAATTATACTGCTTTTAAGCTGTAATTTTACTCTTGAGTCTGTGTGTTTCATAAAGGCTGGTGCTTTTCAGAGGCAACTTTGGCAACTACGTCATTCTTTTGTTTGGCCGTCATATTTGGCCCTCCTCGAACAATGGACACTCTTTTCCTCTGTAATTATCTATGCATTTGTGACCATAATATTCCAGGAATGATGTGATGGTATGCAGCTAATATGCCTGCCTTTAGTCAGCTTTCACCTTGTTGAGATGCAGCTACAGCACGCTACAGCTCTATAC